AATTGTAGTGTAGGAGTGGGGAAAACGTTGGGGCGGCCATGACGTTATCCTTCGAAGCGGAGTGCAGCGTGCATCGAACCTTCCATCAGCCAAGCCAGTGGATAGGCAAGAGCGATCCAAGCGAGCGGTACCAACCGCGGGTGAGAGAAGGCTCACATCAGCGTTTCGGGCGTATGTGCCTGGAAGGTGAGGTAGGTGAGATAGGTGGAAGTAAAATAGGAGGAATATTGCGTCATGATAAAGAAGCAACCCGTGATCAGAAGCAAGTGCAGTTCCACGTGCGGCAGGGACCACGCCTTGTATGTATCCTCCAAGCCTCGCCTCTAAGGCTCGCGAAGAACCGGGAATGTGCATCTAAAAAGGCGGCATCGCGGAAATAGCCAAATCAGGATGGACCCTGAACACCTCGAACTTTGATCACAACAAAAGTGACGAGAAACGGGATCGGGGTTGTTGCCATGCCATCATGTCTCCCGGGGCGCTCGTCACGTACGCTGGTAGAGGCTCGACGACTACTACCACAGTAACCAGATGACATTTGTAGGTGCGTGCCCGGGCAGCATCGCAGATCATTGTCTTGGTCTTTCTCGTGACCACGGGCGTGTTGCTTCACTTTGCAGAGCGGTCACACAAGGGCTTTGTTTGATGGGGAATGGGTGCTAGAGCCGCACGCGGTGTAGGGATTAGTGTTACGGAGGTCCTTTGATTGTGAGTGCAAGTCTTGTGCAGCGGTTTCAGTCAGATGTCTGCGACGGAGGGTGGTGGTCTGGGCGCGGTTCAGCACCTGGGCAGTATCGAGGGCGGGATGGAAGGAGCGATGCATTTGGTGGCATGTACATGTGAAGACGAGGAAGGTGATAAATAGTGATGATTAATGTTTGATATTGGTCAATGTTTGAGTTCGAGGGAATCCAGAAAGGTCGAGTGGAGACGGCGTGCCACCCTCTTTTGCAAGCGACCGAAGACATATTAATGGGCTTCGGGCGGCTTTTCTCTTTCAGCAGGCGGGCTGTCGCCAAACGCGCTGCAGACACATGATCTGGGTGCGAGCATCCAGCAACAGCAGAAGACAAGCGCTGCGGGATTATTGCCATCAAATAGAGTGCCATAGAGCAGTGTCGAGTCTTGGGCGGCAGAATTAGGACAAGGCAGAGTTCGGCGCGAGACGCGAAAGAGAGACGTCGCTGGCGTGCCGCGAGAAGATTGAACGAATGACGCTCCATGTGGACCGCACAGGCCGGTTCTCACCACAGACTCCGCAACAAGTGTGATCTCAACCTCGCCTGCTTCCACCCGGCGACATCAACGCTTCACCACCTCTCTGGCATGTCCGACGCCCGCCATTCTTCCCAGCGTGCACCCCCATCGCCCTCAGTCGCCTCGTAGCCCGCCCCGGCACTGCCTCCAGCCGCGGCTCCAGCACCTCCGCAGCACCATCCACCTGCCCAGGCCTGCGATAACGCCTCTGCTGGCTGCGACGAAGCGTCCCAGCACGCAAAAGCGCCGACTGAGCATCCCGACGACGACGCTCCCCCAATTCGGCGCCCCCGTCGCGCCGTTTGGCCGCCTCACCGACGTGCTTGGTCCGCTTGCCTGTGCAGACGAGTAGCGTCACGACGTCGGCTCTCGCACCCCCAGCGACGCACCCAGCCATGTCGACGCCCTCGACCGCCACGGCCACACTCCCGCCCCATCACCAGTTTTATTCTCACCACCAGACGTACCAGCCCAGCATCGCCAATGCCCAGATTGCCAACGGCGGCGCTCGGATAGGCAACTCGCTCTACAACGGCTACGCTAGCGCTTCCTCCAGTTCAGACCTTCGCCGAAACGCGACTGCCCACACACGACACCCGCCCCAGCTGCCGCCCATCTCCCAGGCCCCGCCCATCGACATGAGCGCGAACGACCCGGGCTCCGCCCACCGGCGGCGGCACCCCGACTGGGCCGACTTCTACAGGAACGGCATCCCGAAGGAGGTCATTGTTATTGACGACGACGACGACGATGAACCCCAGCTGCCTCCGCCTCGCAACCACGCGCCCTCGTCACGCACCGCGACAAACCCGACTGCGCGCCACACAGACAAGAAGCGCAAGACGACCGCATCCACGGCATACGACCCCGTCTACAACCAGCACACGTCCTACTCCACCACCCAAACACCCTACTACGACTCTCCCAACCACTCACTGTCCACCGACCGCACTACCTCTGCGCTCAACACCACGGCGCCGACGTCATTAGGCTCGCAGGTCAGCAATGGCCACCACATCTCGCCTCTCGACAACAGCGCAGCGGGCCAGAAGCGCAAGCGCACACGCGCTGTGGTGCAGGATGAAGCAAAGCAGGCCAAAAGACGGGAACTGGACAATGACGACCCCTTCAGCCTGTACCAGCCGCCGCCCAACCCGGTAATCAAGGCGAAGGACGTCTACGTACAGGTTGTCCCAGATGTAAGACCCGATCCACGCCTCCTCTTCCAGGACCTGAACTGACACACTCCAGAAGTCGTATACAAAGGACCAAAAGGTAGATGACGACGACGGCCACTACATTGTAGTACCGGAGGCCGACCTCACAGAGAGATGTAGGTCTCTACGATCAATACCCCGAAGAATGATACTGACAAAGGACATCAGACCAGATCACAAAACTGCTCGGTCAGGGCACCTTTGGCAAAGTTGTCCAAGCATACGACAGACGGAAAGGCACAAATTGCGCCATCAAGGTCATTCGATCAGTGCCCAAATACCGAGATGCCAGCCGCATCGAACTGCGGGTACTGTCAACACTGGCATCCAACGACAAGCACAACATCAACCGGTGCATTCACCTACGAGATTGCTTCGACTTCCGGAACCACATCTGCATCGTCACCGATCTCTATGGACAAAGTGTGTTTGACTTCCTCAAGTCGAACGGCTTTGTCCCATTCCCCAGCTCTCACATCCAGAAGTTTGCGAAACAGCTCTTCACCAGCGTTGCCTTCCTCCACGACCTCAACCTCATCCACACCGATCTGAAACCGGAGAACATCCTGCTTGTCAACAACAATTACCAGACTTTTACGTACAATAGGACTGTACCGTCATCGTCAACAACAGTGAACCGGACAGCGCGGCATCGCAAGGTCCTCCTTGATCCCGAGATTCGCCTCATCGACTTTGGATCAGCGACGTTCAATGACGAATACCACTCCTCGGTAGTCTCGACTCGCCACTACAGAGCACCTGAGATTATCCTCAACCTGGGCTGGAGTTTCCCTTGCGATATCTGGAGTATAGGATGTATCCTGGTCGAATTCTTCACTGGCGACGCCCTTTTCCAAACGCATGACAACCTCGAGCATCTGGCGATGATGGAGGCTGTTTGCAGTGGCAAGATCGATCGAGACATTGTGCGAGCGGTCTACAAGCAAGACCGCGGTTCATCACGCAACTCGTCGAGCTCGTAAGTAGACACGACGCCATTCTCACGACGCTGCTAACAATTCTAGTGCTGCGCGATACTTCAAGAACTACAAGCTTGATTACCCCAACGCAGACACTAACAAAGCCTCGAAGAAATACGTCAAGGCGATGAAGAAGCTTCCCGTACGTCGCCACACGTCACACTGTTCGTTTGATAGTTGACTAACTTTTCCCAGGAAACAATACCAGCCCACACCGATTTCAACCGTCAATTCCTCGACCTCCTCCGGCGGATATTCGTCTACGACCCCAAGAAACGGATAACAGCCAAGGAAGCACTGCAACACCCCTGGTTCAAAGAGTCCCTCATGGACGACGGAACGGAAGCGCACAAGATCCGTCTAGAGCGGGAGAAGAAGGCCCGCCGCCAGGAAGAAGAGCGGAGATTCCGTGATCAACAGTCGCGAGCGTATTGAGCGAATCTGCCAACTTGACCGACACCAACACACATTGTCCTGTCTAGATGGATTCGACGGACATGTGTCTTTGTATAGATTAACAGATTACCCAGCTCCGCCGCGCTTTATAGGATTCACGGGCACGTGCAGCAAATAAGCAGTACGATAATTGGGTTGATGGGCGGGTGGGTGGTATTGTTCCCTTTTTCTTTTTGACTGGCTTCACATCTACTGCATTTACGACAGCGACATGAACGCATGGAGAAACACACCGAGAGAGAGAGAAAGAGAGAAAGGGTTCAGAACTAGTCTCTTTGTTACTCTTTGTCTGGTTCTTGATTGGGCGTTTTTATTGTGTTATATTTGGATTACACCAAACTATCCTCCTCTTGTGTGTGTTTTTTTTTGGCTTTCTTTCTAAATGTGCTTTCGAGCCGATTATGGGAGAAAAGTAGTATCTGTTTGCCTTGCGATTTTCGACTGCGAGTGCTGCGTGCGGCATGAGTGCGAGAGAGGAAGAGGAGAAGAAGAACGGTATATCCTAGCCCGAGGTGGATGTTGTTGAGGTGGTGGTGGTGGATATGCATCTACCTTTACCAGAGCGAGAGACAGAGAAAGAGTCAAAGCAACTAGCTTTTCCAGTATGGACGATATGGAGTCGTGCTGTACGTTTGTATAATTTAGGATTTTTCAAGCCGCCGTGCTTGGGTGTATGAAAGTAGTGGTGTGGCTAAATAGGCTGGCACTTTATGGAAGGATCTCATCTTTGACTGAATGACTGTTTTGATGTGATGATTTGTTGTGCTGGTGATATCGTGACAGTGACTAGCGATATCTTCCTTTACAGCACCAAGGCGTGAGACTCAGCACGAGCAAACAGCAATTCCACACAACTCCGCGGACGCACCCTCAACATCCCCCATCCACATGACCCTCACAGCGCGCATCCCAAACAAGCAAATTACGCGACCCCACTAGCGCGAGCCCTTCGACCCTTGTCTTCCGTCCAGTCAGATCCCGGGAGCGGGCCCGCAGTAAACACGTCCCTCGGCGCGCGCGTGTCGCAAACAACGGGTGGTGCTGGACGACATTTGCGACAACGACGGCCACGCTACGACGAAACGACAAGATGGCGAGCGCAAAGCAACAGGAGAATATGCTGCTTACTGAGCACTTTACTTGGCCTCCTATTGTACGTATGATTCGTGGGTAATGGGTAGAGGAGGGGTGGTGGGAGGGGAAGTGGGTGTAGATGGTGTGGATAGACTGGGGATTGTGTCTGCAATACCTCGAAGACCACTCTCTGCACATTGATCCACTACCTCCGCTACCCCGGCTCTTGTACATCAATCCAACAACTAACATCAATTCTAGTCCCTAATCGACGACATAATAAACGCCATAAACGAAGTCCTCTACCGCTGCACCGACTCCTTCGAAACCGGTCTCTCCTCCGCCGACCCCTCCCTCCTCGGTTTCGCCGACCTCTACGCCTCGCAAAACCGCACACCGGCCAAAGACGAAGACGGAAACGATGTATACCCAGAAGCGCGGTTGGAGATTGAAGAGGGAGTGCTAAAGCTAGAGACGCTCATGGAGAATGCCGTGGACAAGAACTTTGATAAATTGGAGATTTGGACATTGAGGAATGTGTTTGCGTTGGGCAGGGGGAAGGGGCAGGATGAGGGGTTGGCAGAGTGGGTGAGATTGGGGCATTATGAGGTATGTTCGATAGGACGGTGGTAGACAGTGGTATTTGGAGGCAGTAGAAGGACAGGATAGATGAATTGACACGACGAACACATCACTAACACAAACTAGAACCTCGAACCGCCCTCCAAAAACTCAACCCTCACCCCAGAAGCCCTCTACACCCTCCGCCGCAAACTGATCGAAACACAAAAGTTAAACGCCGCTCTCCTCGCTGAAAAAACGCGCAACGAGACACAAATAGCACGGTTACGCGCCCTTCTCACACCGTCTACGTTGCCGAAACGTGAATCCCTTGCCTCGACAGGAGGAGACAATGAGCAGGAGGGACAAGCAGCGCCCTTCGCCTTCCTAACGCACGCGCCTGCTGCGAAGGAAATAGGCATACAATCCCTACCTCACACTCACACAAACGCCGAGAAGAACACGGAAAAGAACAGCAACACCGACACAAAACCCACACACACGCCCCTGACAACACATACCTCCTTCACAACAACCCAACTCCCCTACCTCCGCCAACTCCTCGCAAGCCTAAAACCGCATTTAGCAAACACCGCTTTACCCAGCAACACTTCCTCTCCTCCTTCTTACTCTACCTCCAACGCCCAACAACAACAGCCACAATCCAAAGACAAAGAAGAGTTAACCCGCGAACGCAAGATTTACGTTGAAAGTCAGAGTAAAAGAGTGCTGGAGAGACGGGGTGTGGATACAAAGGATGGGGTTGAAGGGGTTTGGGAGGGGGGCAGTAGGGTGGGGAGTGAGGAGGTTAGGGGGTTGGAGGGGTTGGTTGAGGGGATGGGTAGGGGAGGGGATAAGAGGAGGGTGCAGAGGGAGGAGCAGCAGGAGGAGGAGGGTCTTGAGGGGATACAAGAAGGGGATGAGGATGAGGATGCTATGGACACGAGCTGAGTTGGTACGGGTTGGAATGGGCGTTTTGGCGTTTGGGGCATATACCAGTGTGAGCAACTGTGTTGGAAATATCGAAATCACGTCTCATGACTACCTCACATCCCTCTCGAGGATTCTTCAGCCAGGTTCTTTTTTTTTGTCGTTTCCATTTGCCATCATACATGAGCATTCGTGTCATGAAAGACGTTAGACTTGCAAGTCAAAAGCTACCCTCCGCCCCATACATCTCCGTTACATGTGTGTGGCCTTGAAATCGGTCGCGAGTGCGCTCTCTCGAACAGACTGAACCCGTGCTCCACCACAAGGCTAACACCCACACACCCACACACCCACACAGCCGCTCTCAAAGCACCAAGCCCTCAGCGGGTCAGAATGCCCAACTCACCCCTAGTACTCCACGACCTTAGCCCTACTCCTCAACTCCTCGGGCACCTCCTCCGCGCTCACAATACCCATGCGCATCGCATCGCCCCAAACAAACATGGCGCGATCATTAGCATACGCGAGGTAATCAAATTCCTCTTCATCCTGTGGTTTGAAAAGGTCAGCATCCTGTTCCGCTTGCGTCATGTTTCCTTGCGTAGTAGCCCCTTCCTCCGTCGCTGTCTTTTCACTCACGATCCCTGCCCCCGACTTCTCTTCTGGTCCTCCTTCGGCCCCCGCCTCGGCGCGTATCTCTGCTGTCGCGCTGTCTAGTTCGGCGGCTGCGCCGCTGGGGTTGTTGGCGTATGCATCCGCGTTTGCTTGTTTATCCAAAGCGTCGAAGTCGGGGAGACCGGGGACGTGAGCCTGAACTATGCCCCAAGCTACCCACATGGCTGAGTTGGCGAGGCGCCAGAGTTTGGTCTCGGCGAGGAGGCGACGGGTTTCTTCTTCGATTTGGCGTTCGGCTGTGGCTTCTTGCTCTTGGTACTGGGAGCCGGGTGGGGCGCGCGAGTCGAGCATGAAGGCGGAGATGTTGCTAGGGGCTGCGGTTGCTGCTAGGGCGGTTGTGCTTCCTGAGGAGGGAAGAGGGCCTAGGTGGGGGGTAGCAGGGTTGGAGGTGTAGCCTCCGGCTGCTTTGTAGGAGGGGTTGTGCATCAGGTATGCTCGGATGAAGCGGTGCTGCTCCTCGACGGTTGGGTAGTACTTGGTGTTACACCTCCACGGTACATCAGCGTCGTGGTAGTTGTATGTCCATTCGGTCTACCTTTTGGTCAGTACAGGCCTCAAAAGTGTGAGGAGTAGTGAAGGATTCAAGGGGCAACCGAAAATATCTTACGAAGTGGTTGGCAAACTCCAGACCAGGAAGGTTCGCATTTGCGTACTCGAAGTCAATGACCACAAGCTGCTTGTGCTGGTTCGCTGGAAGCAGTAGGGGCGACTCGCCCTCTGGCACCATGCGCAGGATATTACCATACTGGGTCTATAGAGAGTCAGCTTAGAAGGCTTCTGCAAGGTAAAACGACCTACATCGTTATGGGCAAAGATCATGCGCTCGTTGATCTTGTCTGCACCACCATACTGTTCCTCCAGCCACCTCCGATACTTCTCAACCATCTGCCTGAAAACTGGCCACTCCATACCACACACGTAACCTCGCTTCTTCCACTTGTCGCCAGGGCCTAGCGCAGGGTCTTGCTTGCTCTCGCGAACCCGATCGTCAAGCCAAGTGACGATCTGCTCGCAACGGTCAACCCACTTATCCCAGTTTTGCCATACGAATGGACCAGCTTCTCGCTCTTCTTTGAGAAGGTCAATGCCCTCGTGTAGCTCTCGCATACGCTTTGCGATCTGCTTTGAAGTCTCCGCATTGCGCAGTTCCTTTGCGGTCAACGGCTTTGCATGGAGGAACTCCTCGAAGCGGCCATTGGTGAAGGTACCAAGTAGACGCGGACCTATTCGCTTTCGAGCGAGGCGTGTGAGGATCTGTAGTTCAGACTCTCGATCGATCAGATGTTCCACTTGAGGACCGTAGATACGTAACAGAAGCTTACTAGAGAGTGTTAGACTTGCTTCGCTTACGTTCAAGGTGACTTACGGAGGAGGGTTCTTTGGCTTAGGCTGACCATCTTCACCCTGCTCTTGAAGTTGCAGATTCTTGGGAGGTGAGACGACGTAAACAGCGTTTGTCAATGCGCCACTCAGCCTCTGCACATCAATCTCATTGCTCTGCTCCATCGAGACCTTACGCCATCCCTTGAGCTTCAGAGTATGAGCCAGACGGAGGATCTCAGCACGGAACTTGGTCCACGCCTCTCTCTCCTTGCGTGCTTCTTTGTCAGATAGTTGTGGGGCTGATTCGGCATCTGACTCGTCCACGTTGTATGCCATAGTCTTCGAGTTATCCAAGATGGCCTCGCAACTCGGGACCAGCTGGTCTACAGACTCGAAATAGTCCGTGTCGAGAGAGATGGCAGAGTGTCGCTTCAAACCTGTGGAAGACCTGCGGAAGTGTTGCATCCTCTTCTTCGCGTCGGCCGGCTTCATAGCTAGAGTCTTCTCGAGGATGTGCGCTAGTTGGTCGAGAGAGTCCTCACCGTGGGATGACGAAGAGCTGGTCCTAGTAAGCGCGATGGGCTCTTCAGTCGTCTCATCAGGCACAGTTGATGTCTTGTCCTCGACAGCGCCCTCTTTGGCGGCTTTGCGTTTCGCTCTTCGTGCATGACGTCGGCTTCGCTCGTGCTTGAGCCATGTGCCTACCTGCTTCAACAGATTCTCGTGCGCATGCTGCCCATGAGGAGCATCGGTTGAGCTGTCCGAAAGCAGAGAAGACAAAGATGGGTTACCCTCAGCTGGTGCGCCTCTGGGAGTTGACGACAGACGCTCGACTGAAGGCCGTCCAGATAGTTTCTTTCTACTGACACTTGCGGGGTAATGTTTCGCGGGTCTGTCGAGATCCAAGTAATCCCTCTGATCGAGTTCTTTGTTCTTCCCGATCATCAATGGGGAGATGGCAGTGTCGTCGGGAAAGGACACAACTGTAAGCGCATGGTTAGCAGTTGTTCGTTAAGCACTTGGTAGGTGACAGTGTATCAGCTAAACATCTTGTTCATTGTTCTCGGACATAGCAGTCGCTCATTTTGCTACATGCACATAGCTAAGTCATAGCCAGATAGCTTGCGTAGTATTTGAGATTCGACTCAGCGTTTGAGCACGACAGGTGTTAGTCACTGCGGAGTCACGATGGTCTACAGCTACCTCGCTGGTAGAATCACGATTCCAAAAAAAAGTGATATGAATTCATCGCCAGAGCTTGCAAGCCAAACAGTAAGAGAACGAACAAGAACTGACCTTTGGTAGACCGCGGCGACGCGCCATCCACTGGAGTAGCGTTCTGCGAGAGGGCAGACGAGTCGCTTCGGTGGGGGACGCTGGGCCGCGACTGCTCATTGGAGGAATCCGCCATGGCGATTGCCTAGAATGTGCAGCCTGGTGTGCGGAAGTGAAGTAAGCAGGACCGACCGCGTGGTAATTTGTAGCTCCCCAGACGGGTCCGAAGGTGCTGTAGTGAGGCCTCGAAATAAACGTGCCCTACTTGGTGGGTAGGAACGGCGGGTTGTTTGGTGGGCGGTGTTATCGATACCTAGTGCGGCAGGAACGCCAGAAAGTACACGCGAGCTCAGGGTCCACGTGCCAAGCTGATTGGCGGTAAGGATCGCTGAGGAGAGGAGACGAGGTGAAGAGGAATGTGAAAAGTCTCGAGGCGTCTATAACCAGATCTTGATAGAAATAGACAGTTTAGAGGTAGAGTATCATCATAGCTGGAACAGACGGCAGCGTGGTGTGTTGATGGTCCCTACGCTATCTTCAGAGCTATTGGGCAGCCATCGGTCTCCGAGGCCAGTCTTGGCAGTCTACGTCAGGGTTTGGTACGCCAGAAACCTGCAATAGAACCTAGACACGGAGGCGTTGAACGCTATGTAGCAAATCACCTTTAGGCACTGTAATAGTAGACATCAAGTACTACAGAAGTTGGTCACACTGGTATATCCCCAAACCCAAAAATCATGCCCTATATGTCACTTGGGCAAGGTGCGTTTCTTATCACACTAGAGACGTCGCTGTATCACAGACTCGCCATCAACCAGCGAGACATCCACCACCTCCCCTCCACCTCCCCTCCGCCTCCCCCACCCACCCATAGCTATCGGCCTCCGAAATTCCAGTTCGCAGCCTTGGCAGTCTACGTCAGGTTTTGGTACGCCAGAAACTTGGACACGACGGTGCTGCCCAGGTGAGCGCAATGTGGCGAATGATGGACGTTGACGGAGGATCACCTTCCCTTGCGAATTGTTTTCAGGTGCTCAACAGTACTTAGAGGTTGTCGTAGAATGGACTCGTCCTTGAACCGATCAGACCTCTCGGATCGCGGTACTTCAGCGTAGCCAAGATACGAAAGATCTGATCGGTTTAAAGAAGAGGCCATCCTCCGACAACCTCCAAACACCGGGACAACGTTAAAAGTGTATATACAAACTGCTTTTCATTGCAGTTCTCTGCCATGTTTCCAATCGATGCAACTACCAAACCCATTCCCAGTACCAGAACGCCTCGCTTTGAAACCCAATTACATATCGCAACAAGGGAGGGTGCGCTGCGTCCTTCCAAGCACTAACACTGCAACGAACACATGACTCATTTGGCCCATTCCACTGTCTCCAGTGCAAGCATGACCAGAAGAAGAGTCGACGGTAGGATCCAGACAACGTAGCTCTGGAAGAGAATCCTCGACATGGCGCCCATGTACACGTTGTTGATTTGGCAGATCTGTGCCAGCTGTAGCGCACTCGGCGCACCGCTGAGTAGGAAGCAAACAATGATGAAGATCGGGTCGTCGAGAATACTGACCGGCACATACTTGGCGGTTAAAGCAAGCATAGGTGCCATGAGAAGCGTCGGGATAAGCATGCGACTGACGAGGGAGGCAATGACAAGCTTCTTCTCAACACTTGGGTCTTCCATCGAGTGCTGGTCCTCCTTGGGTAGAGTGTTACGCGCAAGGTTGGCACCCAAGACGA